AACAGGACTAAAACAGGACTAAAACCGGACTAAAACAAAACTACACCAGGACTAAACCAGGACTAAACCAGGACTGAACCAGGACTAAAACAGGACTAAACCAGGACTAAACCAGGACTAAACCAGGACTAAACCAGGACTAAACCAGGACTAAACCAGAACTAAACCAGGACTAAACCAGGACTAAAACAAGACTAAACCAGGACTGAACCAGGACTAAAACAGAATTAAAACAGGACTAAACCAGGACTAAAACAAGACTAAACCAGGACTAAAACAGAATTAAAACAGGACTAAACCAGGATAAAACCAAGACTAAACTAGGACTAAACCAGAACTGAACAAGGACTAAACCAGGACTAAAACAAGACTAAACCAGGACTAAAATAGGACTAAACTAGGACTAAACCAGGACTAAAATAGGACTAAACCAGGACTCAACCAGGACTAAACCAGGACTGAACCAGGACTAAACCAGGAGGACTAAACCAGGTCTAAAACAGGACTCAACCAAGACTAAAACAGGACTAAACTAGATTAAATTATGAACAAAACTGGTTCAGACTGGTCTTCTCTGGCGGGAGTTTGAAGTGGTGGGAGGAGCCAAATTAACACTAAGGGAAGTTGAATTAATTCAACCAAATCAACTCTGGCAAATAACCCCAACTCCAACACACATTTAACTTTCAAACAGTTAAAATATCACTTTTTGTGTTCAAAACAACTCTGAAATATTTCACCCTGAAATATTCACACTGTAGAGGGGGGCCCATGTGAAGCTTTTTTGCCCTGGGCCCAACAAATTTCTGACGACGGGCCTGGCTTCACCTGCTTGTTTCCATGGAGACAGGTCATTTTAATGCCAATTGGTGAAACATTCCAAGCAAAAGCAAACACAACTCCCCAGAGACAAACACGTACCACCAGAAACGTTACGTAATGCTGCTTTAACTTCAAAACCGTCCTGTTTAAATCTGTTATTTTTCAGTAAACTTTGGGCTCTACGTCAAAATTTTACTTTTTCACTTTGAGACTCCAGATGTTTAGCTCTGGTTTATGTTCAATGTTTCTATAATTACTGGACCGATCCAAATAAAACAATTCAGTAACAGTTTTAAAACAAAAAGTATGTAAATAAATGAATAAATAAATGAATAAATAATCAAATACATACATACAGACGTACATAAAAGTGTAAATGTCTTTATTTACTGTGATTTACCTGCAAGTATTAAGATAAAAAAAAGATAAATTATTAAAATATTTGTCACATTCTTTCTAACTAATGAACTCATTAGCATATCGTCACAGGAATCAGATCTTGATTTGGATTTGATTTTTATTGGATTTTTTTATTGTCAAACAATCAAAAAAAAACATGAAAATACTTTGTGATTTTTAAGCAAAAATAGAACAATCTGTGATGAGAGGAATTTTATTTATTTTATTGTTTTTATTTATTCATTTTTGTTAGTTTTCAGTATTTCAGTAAGAGTATTTCAACATCTGCCGCTCTGTGTCAAGTAAAAACAGCTCCACATGACGTCTCCTCTTCATCAGATGAAGGTCTCCCGGTGCAGAGGAGACATTTGCTCTCATTAAACACCTTCACCAAAGAACTTCTGCTCTGTTCCGCTCCTCCCCATCGGATCAAGAACATCCGATGCAGAGGAGCATGTTCCAGGCGGTGTTTACTGTGGGGCTCGGTCTACTGCCCCCTACAGGACCTGTGTGGAGCTAGCGCCCCCTACAGGACCTGTGTGGAGCTAGCGCCCCCTACAGGACCTGTGTGGAGCTAGCGCCCCCTACAGGACCTGCAGAAAATGCGGCGCAGTGTTCGGCAGAAGGAGCTGAGTCTGCTCCTCTGTGGCATCACCACGTGTCTCAGGATGGTGTCCATCGTGGTCTGTAAAAACTCATCCTCGTTGATGATGGCAGAGAATTGAACTAATTTCTTTGAGGAGCCTGTGCACAGGTCTTTGTACACGGCCTCCGCCACTTCCACGATGTTCTCTCTGTCAGGTCTCACCCTCACGTTCCATTCACACATGTTTAACTGCAGCAGCTCAACCAGTGTGATGAACATGGAGCGCATTTCAAACATGTTTTTGGTCTGAAGGACGCGCTTGCTCACCTCATAAGCCAAGCTCCAGATATGTTCTGCCTCCCACTCATATTGAGAATGTCCAGGAGGGCCTTGGGGACTTGTGACAGTTGGGGTGGTCTGGTCTGGTCTGCTCTTTGAAGCGCTCCGCACACTCTCAAAAGTCCCAGTCCCAGTCTCAGTCTCAGTCTGGTAACAGGGTGCACAGCTCTGAAGCTTGGTCCTTTGGGCACTCACCTGTACCTGAGACAGGTTCTCAGTGAAGAGTGGCTTTGTTTGAAGCTCACTCTACATATCCCTCTGCTGTTCCTGCAGAGATGTAGCGGAGACTTGAGCTCTGGAGTCCAAAATTGAGAAATCCTCCTCCTGTTCATCCTCTAGGGGAACACTGCACGGGTGACAGAATAAGAGTTTACCCAGATTCAGCTCTGCAACTTTCTGCTTCCTCCTCCTTTTGCGCCGGACACAAGGTGCACAGCTCTGAGCCAGTTTCTCTTGCTCCTCCTGATCCACAGAGGCTGAAGAGGCAGATGTGGGCTCCGGCAAAGATGTAGCACCACAGATCTGAGTCCCCTGCTTGGCTGGTGCTGAGTCTTCATCCTGTTTATCTACGGATGTGTGGGTTTCACGTGGGAGTAGGGGGTCGAGTGTTCTCCCACTGGGTGCAGTGCCGGGTCTCACGTTAAGCTGCAGGGGAGACTGAGTAGAATCCGGGGCCCATGATGCACAGTGCTGCTGGTTTTCAGAGGTTGGTGTCACTCCCAACCCATTCTGTCTCAGTTCTCTCGCAACCCTGAAACGCTTGATTCTCTCCTCCATGTCCGTGTCCACAGGCTTTGGTGAGGCCTTCATCTCCTTCAGAGATGTAGAGCGAACACGTGAGGATAGTGTGTCCTGAGAAGTTGAGAGAACATTAGACGTTTCCTCTTCAGGGGAGAGTGTCTGATCACGCGGCTTACGGCAGCAGTTAAATAATTTTCTGGCCGTGCTGGCGATCTTGTTGAGCCTGTGATTCGGCGTGGTGTAAAGTGGTACACTCTCGTTTACCACTGGTTTGTCCCCCTCAAAACTGGTGCGGGACATGGCCGAGTTGACTCTGGAGGTCATCTCACTGCTCACCATCTCCACGACCTCGTCCATGGACTGAGTCTCTCCTGAGGTCCTGAAGCAGAACTTGAAAATGGGGGCCAGTGAAGCCTTCACTGCCTCCTGTGACACCTGGAGATCACTGGAAAGGCGACCTTGGGCAACGTGATCCACTAAAACCCTGAGTATCACCCTGGAGCTAACCAAGATGAGTTCCATGAATGTGTCCTTCATCTGGTGTCTGGGCTCCAGCATCGACAAGTCCACACTGCTGTAATCGAGCCCCAAGAGGGAGTCAAGCAGAGGTCCAATTTTCTGTGATAATCTCTTCACTAGAGCTTCATCCAGGGGGAAACTGCCACTGCCTTGGACGTCTGTGGACTGGGACGATGAAGGTCGAGAGCGACGGGTGTATCTCCTCAGCTCGTTCAGGCTTTCAGTGTCCGACAGCCCACGTCTGCGTCCCGTCCTGCTCCTCGGCAACTCGTCAGGCTGTGGTTTGACTGAAGGAGTCCGGCTTCGTCGGATCTCCTCAAACATGCGCCTCATCTCCTCCGGGGTAAATCCTTCAGTGTCTTTGTCTGCCATTACAACGAAAAAACTCTCAAGGTTGGTGAAAAAAAATGTAAATCAGTAACTTCTGTGGAGTAAAGTTTGCACACTGCTTTTGTCGAGCTCAGCTAAACGTGCCTTTTCCGGTAAACGATTTGTGATTTGCGATTTACCTATTCTTATAATCTCCCCGAGGCCAAACAAAGCTTTGAGTTAAAGACCACGAAGCTTTGAAGTTCAGCTTTGAGTTCTGAAGTCGCCACGGTAACAAGGCTTTATGGATCTCAAAGTTTTGAAGTTCAGCTTTGAGTTCCGGCGTTGCCACGGTAACAAGGCTTTATGGAACGTTACATGTATGACGTCATCGGCGCCGTGAACCTGATGGAACTGGGAGGTTTTCAGGTTCTAGAATGTGATGACGTCATACTCCCAGACGGGGGCAAGAGCCACGTTTCCCTGTTGACTGAGGCCGAGTGTTGTTAAGAAGTCGCTGATACGAGACAAACCGTGTGTCATTCAATAATTTGTTTGTCAATATAAAACCAAAAATAATAATAAAAAAAAAAAAACAGTTTCCTTCATTATTTGTCTCCAAAACCAAAATGAAAAATTTTATTTTTTTCAGTTTTCGATTTTGTGTTTAAATGAAAAATGGAAAAACGGATAACGGCCGTTTCCAGTTTACATGACTTCTGTGACTGTGATGCCGGACTTTTGCACCGCATACGAACTGATCCAGGTCCAGGACCAGACCGGGACCAGAGCGAGACAGACTGGGACCAGAGTCCGAGCTTTGACTCCGAGCCTCAGCCCCGGTCTAGTCTCGGTCTAAGTCTGACTAAACAGGACTGAACCAGAACTGAACCAGGACTTAAACAGGACTAAACCAACTTCTCAACAAGGAACCACTCACCCACTGGTGTTCACAGACAGCGAAGTGTCTTGCCCAAGAACACAACAACAACGTTTCATGTGTGGGAGCTGAATATTAAGTGTAAAGTAAAGCTGTTTAAAGTCACAGTGCGGAACATTTTACGCAGGAAAAAAAAAAAAAAAACACATCCAACCAGACACACAGTTTGAAAATTGGTCATTTCTCTGATTCGTTTGTTAGTTTCCACCTTGGCTCTTTTTTACATTTAATTATGACAAAAAAGTTCAAAACTCCGACTTCTAAAAACAGATCCTTAAACTTCAGATCCCATGAAAAAAAACAAAAACAAAACAGAACGTAAATAAAGACGACAGTGACACGAGAGACTTTCTACAAATTTATTCGGACACATGAAGTGCGCATGATCAGAGTTTACTTCAGCTTCTTCTTGGGGCGCAGGTTGTTTGTGTGTCCACATTTCTTCTTGCGACAGTTGACAGCGCGCGGGTGCAGACGAGCGTAACATCTGAAAGAAACAAACGCCGTCAGGAACGAAGAAAAATAAACGTACTTACGGGTTTCTAAAATGGATATTAAAGTGTGTTTTTGTTTAATATGGTCAGAATAATTATCTTCAGGAACAATTTGATTTGAACACATCCGTTTTGTATCTGGGGAAAACTTTATAGACTTTAAAAACTAAAAACCTGACTCACGCTTCTTTAAAAAGGCAAAGTGTAAACTCTAAAAGGCGAAGAATCCGTGTATCAGTCGTTTTTCAAAATAAAACCAAAAATAAGAAAACAAAAAAAGCAACTGTTTTCTTCATTATTTGTCTCCAAAACAGAATCAATTTTTATCCAGTTTTCAATTTTGTGTTTAAATAATGTAAAAAAAAAAAACAGATAATGGGTGTTTCCTGTTTCCATGACTTAAACTGTGATGCCGGACTGAACCAGGACTGAAACGGTCTCAGTCCTCCGGTCCGGTCCCGGGTCCCGGTCCCCAGGTCCCAGTCCTCAGTCCCGGTCCCCAGGTCCCAGTCCTCAGTCCCGGTCCCCAGGTCCAGTCTCAGTCCCAGGTCCCATGTCTCAGTCCAGGTCCCATGTCTCAGTCCCAGGTCCCATGTCTCAGTCCCAGGTCCCATGTCTCAGTCCCAGGTCCCATGTCTCAGTCCCAGGTCCCATGTCTCAGTCCCAGGTCCCATGTCTCAGTCCCAGGTCCCATGTCTCAGTCCCAGGTCCCATGTCTCAGTCCCAGGTCCCATGTCTCAGTCCCAGGTCCCATGTCTCAGTCCCAGGTCCCATGTCTCAGTCCCAGGTCCCATGTCTCACCCCGAATTCACACCAGGAGCTGCAGCTGCGCTTAACGTAGGCGGAGCTGCGCGTACACGTAAATTTCAAAGTTTCAATTCACACCAGAGCGTCAGACGCTCCTGCTACGCAGCCTGCACATCTTCTCACTGTTTTCAGACATCACATTTTGTACTTGCTTTTTATAATTTATTTTATGTTAAAGTGTATTAAGTTAGAATGTGTATTAAGTGTATTGTGAATTAAGTGTACAACTGCAACGCATTTGCGTTTAATGAGGTTTAAATCTATTAGCACAAACATTAAACACCTCAGTTTTTTTCCCCTTAATAAGGTAAAATCACGTATAATTAACATACATTATGAGCGTGATTAAAATCTTATGTCCGTTCAGGTAATAAGGCCTATACTTTTATATGTTGATACAGATGGATAAGGGAAAATAGTCGCTGAAACGGGCGAGTTTTAATGTTCTGGAATTTTAAGGGCGGGTCAGGACTAATTCAGGTGTAAACCAGGTCTAAACCACGTCTAAACCATGACTAAACCCGGACTAAACCAGGTCTAAACCAGGTCTAATCCTGGAGAGAGAGAGAGATAGCGAACCCTGAGCCCCGCGGAGCAGGTGTCTGAAAAGCGCGACGGCTGCACGTACCTTTTCACCAAGCTCTGCACCGGTTCTTTCGCCCGCGGACACTCGGGGCTAAACGGAAGGACCTCCGAGCACATTCAGACATGAGTCTTGGTTCTGGTTTAGTCCTGGGTTAGTCCTGGTTTTGTCCTGGGTTAGTCCTGAGTCCTTACAGAATTGGTGTCTGACATCGTAAATCACGTGCGCGTTGTTTATGTCGCTGTCTTGACTATAGTTAAATTATTTTGAAAGGGCATCGGAAGTTTATTTTGACACCACGTGTTTATTTCCTGTCTTTCCCCTGCTAAAAACCTTGGAGATGCGCCGTTGACGCTGCAAAATTAGAAGTTCAACCTATCTCGAGCAGCGCGTCAGCGTCAGACGCTCGTTGGACGCGCGTATGACACTGTCGGGTGTAATCATGAAGAAAATAGTTGCTTTTTTGTTTTATATTGTAAAAAACGAATGATACACGGATTGAGAAGTACGTTAAAGGTGGACGTACTTGCGGCAGATCATCTTGTCGCAGTTGTATTTCTGGGCGAGCTGCCTGAGCGAGGGCTCGATGATTCCTCCACGCAGACGCAGCACCAGGTGAAGAGTGGACTCTGAAACACAAAACAGCATCATGTTTAAAAACTGAATCACTGGAGCAGGGTCAGAATCTAAAAGTGGACTCCAAATACAGAAATAAAAACAGAAACACAAAAGCTTCAGCAGCAGATACTCCCCGCCCCCGTGGGCTCTACACAACAAACTAGGGACGGGCATTCGATGACATTTTCTTAATCGATCGTCGGAAGAATTAAGGATCGATTAGCGATTAATCATTAACGTTTTTATATTAAAATGATCATCATTATTATTACTATCTGCACTAATCTGCATAAATAAATTCAACTTTACGACATAAACATAACGACTCTAGATCCACATCAGCTGTTTGACATTATAATGTGTTTAATTCAGTTTTGTTCAAATCTCACACAAACAAAACTTAAAACCACATCACTAATTTACATAAATTAAGTGAAGATAAAACTCCAGCTCTTGTGTCGCTGATGTGGTTCAACTTGTGTTGGATTAAAAGACATGACTCAGGTGAATACAGGTCAGTGTGACCAGATTTGTGTTTGTCAAAACCAGGACAGCGTACGGGGGGAGGGGGGCGGGGCCTCGTCATCCACATTGAGCGACTCTCACCTGGAAAAACTTTTTCCCACTGGACACAGAAACATATGTGCTGCTTTATCCACTGTGCACATGGACTCACACTTGTCCCAACGCAACGGAAAGTGTGGAATTTCTTCTACAAATCCTGGTTAAATCCACATTTGTGCTTCGGTTCGTTACAGACTGACCCACTGTTTGTGTCTCGCTCCTTCTGATGCAGAGACACATGTACACACCTGTTTGGTCAGACTACAGCAACCTACACTCAGTTTGTCGATTAAAATTAACATAATCGATGAAATTCTTAATGATCAATTATCGATTAATCATGCCCATCTCTACAACAGACCAACACAGATTTGTGAAAAGTCAAAATGTTTCAGACTTTACCTTTCTGGATGTTGTAGTCGGACAGAGTGCGTCCGTCCTCCAGCTGTTTGCCTGCGAAGATCAGACGCTGCTGATCAGGGGGGATTCCTAAAGCAGAAGACACACGTCAAGACTTTGAGTCAAAAAATATAAAATAAAAACAACAGGACTTTTTCTTTATGCAACTGGCCTCAAACGTTAACATGAGTTTTTCCCAAATGGAAAGGAATTCAACTCCACTGGCCCCTGCTCATCAAGGTGGAACATTCCAGGTTCATTTGACCTTCTGATAATTTATGTTATTTGAGTTTTATTTTTCAGACCAAAAGTTTCTCGGACCTGACTGTTTAGACTACCCACTGCAGTCAAAACTGTCAGGTACGAAAAACTGTCTGAAAAAAGAATCTAATAACAAAGCAGATGAGTCTCGTTGATATACCACATTAATACATTTGATTTTATTATTAACTTCAGCCAAGTTAACCAAGTGTTAAATAATGCTGAACATTTTCAAAAGAACATTTAATTCCATTTGGACAAAAGATTTTTGAGTCCTAAATTAAGACCATTTTCGATCTGGTGTGGACTTTGTTCTGTCCTGGTCTAGTCCCAGTTCTGATGCCCTGAAGATGAGTCTTCAGTTCTACCAAGAGTATCACTAAACTCATTTGTGACCAGGAATGTGCAAAAATATCGATATATCAGTAAGAGGTTTTTTTTTTGGTATATTCTACAAAATTATGTTGTTGCAGCTGAAGTTTTGTTGATTGTTCAGAGGAAGGAAACTTGTTTATATGACACATTTGACATTTTCACAGTTTTTAAATTAAAATGTTTGTGCTTCATATGAACGTTGCACAAGAGGAAGTGGTTTAACAAAAACTTTTAGCCTCACAGACATGATTTAGACTTCTTTTTTTTTTTATTAAACTATATCAAATCGATTTGAAATATATCGTTTCCAATCAAAAGTGCACTGTATCCAGGAAAGTCTGTGCAATTAATCAAATTTTTACCGTGATTTCAATCTGTGTCAAACAATCTCCAAACACTTTCCCATAAGTTTATTTTGGGATTTTTTTTGTATAAATAAGTATATTTATTTTATTCTTATAAATATATAGATTGTAGAGCAGCTGGATACATAGTTTATTTTGGATACATTTTAGTTTTTATGTGCCTAATTTGATGTTCAAATGTTTATTTTATTTTATGTTTCATACATCACAAAACTGCAGATACAGATCTGTAGCCTATATTTTCAATTTGAGAGTTTTGCATAAATCATCAATAAGTTTTTTTTTTTTTGAGAGAGAACCGCTGAATAAATGCATCGCGTAACTAGAAAATAAACGTTGGAATAATCACGATAATGATTTTTTCTATAATCAAGCCGCTCTATATCGAGATTTGTATCGTATCTGCAACTGCTTAATGATACTGAGACCTTTTTGTGACAGAATGATATCTTTTCTAATGAATCTACCTCGACCACTGAAGATTTATACAGATGAGTAAACTTGTCTAAGACACTTTAAAGCACAGGTGTCAAACATGCGGCCCGGGGGCCAGATCCGGCCCTCCAAGACCTTTAAACTGGCCCTCGGCTGATTTTCTACTAAAATATTTTACTTCTATTTTTTATTAAAATCTTGTTAATTTTCTGTGGTGTTTATCACAGCAGCGTCTCCAGCGTCTCTGTACGTGGCCCCTCCCACCAGAGCAGCACAAATGAAGACTTGTCTCTTTCCAAACGCTCTTAACTCTTTCCCCCATGAAGACGACATTTGACGACCCCCCTGTTCCCTTAATGACGACTTCTGACTCCTCCGCTGTTTCACTAAAGACATGATTTGATGAACTTTAGAAATGGCTCAGTTTTTCACATTTAAACAGAGACTATGATAGGTGGGGGCCACTACAACCCACACTAGGCTGACCATTAGGATTCAAGGAGATGTTTTCGCAGATTTTTTCCGAAGTTAATCGAAGTAGTGATGATGGTAGCTTCCGGAAAAAACACAACACGAAACACGTGCAATGGAAAGATCGCAGCGCTGCGGCGCACAGTTTTAGAAATAATGAGCGGACGTATTTTATGGATAAGTTTAGAGAAAGGGACTTTTATAGATTTAAAGTGATGATGAGGGTGATTATAAAGTGGAAAACAGCGATGGACTTACAGAGAGTGAAACTTACAAAGATGAGAATGCCGCTGATGCGTCTGTATGGAGTCCTGCGATATCCGAACAAACTGTCCGGGCTTTATACTCGATTATGAACCAAAATTGCCCTGAAATCACTCGTGGAAGTTTTCTTTTATGCAATTATGCTCTATGGGCAGCCCTAGTAATATATGTATGGGTTGTTCCTAGTAGGCGTCCAGGGGGGAAAGAGTTAAAGGACGATCGTTTTGACTGTTGACCGTGACACCCTCATCAGAAAAATGTCCAACGTGAGAAAAGTGGAGCCGAGTGCAGGATTTTACAACAAAAATTTACTTATTCCTCTTTATACAAGTTAATGTTAAACAAGTTAATGTTAAAACATTGTGTTGAAATTTTATTTTTCTTAAAGTTTCAGGTTGTTCATAATATTATAATATTTTGTAAAAGAAAGAGTTCATCAATTAAAAAAGATTTCTGTAATAGATTTGTGTTTCTCTGCACAAATATTTGAACTTGTTATTTTTGGGGTTTATATGACATGAGTTTTCTGATCCGGCCCCTTGGGGATCAAAGTCGGTTGGATACGGCCCCCGGACCAAAATGAGTTTGACACCCCTGCTTTAGAGTCATGTCTCTCTCCTCTCATTTCCTTGTCACATGAGTCCGTTCCTCACCCTCCTTATCCTGGATCTTGGCCTTCACATTCTCGATGGTGTCGCTGGGCTCGACCTCGAGGGTGATGGTCTTCCCCGTGAGAGTCTTCACGAAGATCTGCATGTTCTCCGACTGTGGACACAAGAGACGGTCAGAGGCGTGTGCACTGACAACTCCTTCAGCTCTGTTTTTATGGAGTATGAAAACTTCCAGAAATATTCATGTGCATATTTGTCTGTAGTTGAGCACAAAATAAATCTTTGTAAACTCTAGATTAAGTCCAGTCGTACATAAAATGTCCTGTGTTTATTTTATCCATCAGGATACGAATTGAAAAGTTACGACATCAAGAATTAAAATTACAAAATGAAAATTTACGGTTACACTTTCTTCAGAACAAATACGAATTCACAGACGAAATACATCATCACTTCATAGGCAGAAGAAACATTGATCGCTCTGGTTTAGACCTAGTTTAGACCCCATTTAGACCTGGTTCAGCCCCATTTTAAATCCAAATTTTAGTCCTGGTTTTAGTCCCAGTTTAGTCCTGGTTTTAGTCCCAGTTTAGTCCTGGTTTTAGTCCCAGTTTAGTCCCGGTTTTAGTCCCAGTTTAGTCCCAGTTTAGTCCCGGTTTTAGTCCCAGTTTAGTCTTAATTTAGAACCGTTTTAGACACATTTTGGACCTCATTTAGTCCTAGTTCAGTCCTGTTTTAGTCCTGATTCAGCCCTGTTTTAATCCAAATTTTAGACCCCATTTAGTCCTGGTTTAGATGCATTTTAGACCTCATTTAGTCCCTAGTTCAATCCTGGTTTTAGTCCTAGTTCAGTCCTGGTTTTAAGACCCAATTCAGTTCTGATTTAAACCTGTTTTAGTCCTGGTTCAGGCCTGTGAAACGTATTTTTGACAGTCGAGTCGCGTCTGTGAATTCGTATTCGTACTGAAGTGTAATAAAAAATTCTCATTTTGTGATTTTTATTGTTTTCAATTCATATTCTGACGGATAAAATACACACAACATATTTATCTTATGTACGACTGGACTTGTTTGAGCGTTTACGAATATTTATGCTCAACTACAGACAAATATGCACACAAATATATCTGAACGCTTTCGTACGTCATACTTTAGCCTAAACCGGGACGAGAAACGTGAACAGCAACGCAACCAGAGCCTTTACAACAACCAGAGTTGGGAAGGAGACTTTTAAAATGTAATCCCCCTACAGATTACATACACCAATATGTAGTTTGTAACATAATCCATTAAATTACTTAAAGTGAGTAATGTAATCTGAATACTTTGGATTACTTGATTTGCTGTAGAGAAACAAATACGAGGAAATCTTCACATAAGTTTTGTCTGATAAAAGAAAATAAGAAGCTCAGACTTTACTAAACTGTATTAAAAATATTATTGATAGAAGATGAGATGTTAAATCCTGTTTTAGACCTGGTTTAGACATGGATTTAGACCTGGTTTAATCCTGCTTTAGACCAGGTTTAGACTTGGTTTGGACCTGGTTTAGACTTGGTTTGGACCTGGTTTAGACCTAGTTTTAGACTAGGTTTAGACCTGGTTTTAGACCTGGTTTAGACATGGATTTAGCCCTGGTTTAGTTCTGCTTTAGATCAGGTTTAGACTTGGTTTGGACCTGGTTTTAGTCCTGGTTTAGTGTCCAGCAATGAGGGGAATTACCAAACAAAACAAAAAAAAGAGATTTAGCCCAAAATGTGAAAATAGGAAAATCCCGTCATGTAATCCATTTATTTCAACAAAGTAACTGTAATCCAATTACCACTCACTGAAACAGTAACTGAATACAGTTACTCATAATTTGTACTCTGATTACTCTGGTACATGTAATCTGTTACTCCCCAACATTGACAACAATATTTAACACCTGATTGTACAATAATATGAAGTAGTGCGAACTAAACCGAGCAGATTATTATGTTCAAATACAATTTAGCATTTTAGCCGAGTTAGCATCAGAGAGCTACAGTACAGGCCCGGCCACATGCGGGTCTCTGCGCGGCGTTTCTTACGTTTTCCGAACCTTTAACGCGACGCAGCTGGTGATGAGAGTTAAAATACGGTGTCGGAAGTTTACGATGACGGACGTAAATGTTCGCGATGTGTTTTAAATGAGAGTTTTGCTGATTAAAGTGTTAAAAAGTGTCGGAGCAGCGTGGACTCACCGGCCGCGAGCAAAGCCTCGACGAAAAGAGGGCGGAAGAGGCGAGCGCGCTGTTACGTCACATCCGCTCAGAGGAAGCGACGTTTCTTTCTTTTTTTTTCTCCTTTTTTTCTTTTTCTTTTTATTTATTTTATTTTTTTGTTAAATTGCAGATTATCAAATACAAACAACAACAGCACCTTATAAAAGTATAAAGTATAAAATAATAAATAATAACAAATTAATAAAAACGTATTCACATACACCGCGATACAGACAGTGTTGTGGAGTAACAGATTACATGGACCGGAGTTATGTAATCAGAGTACAAATTTTGAGTAACTGTATTCAGTTACAGTTACTGTTTCAATGAGTAGTAATTGGATTACAGTTACTTAGATGAAATAAATGTATTACATGGCGGTATTTTCCTGTTTTCACTTTTTTTTCCTTCTTCTTCTTTCGGTAACTCCACTCATTGCTGGACACTAAACCAGGTCTAAAACCAGGTCTAAAACCAGGTCTAAACCAGGTCTAAAACCAGGTCTAAACCCGGTCTAAACCAGGTCTAAAATCAGGTCTAAACCAGGTCTAAAACCAGGTCTAAACCAGGTCTAAACCAGGTCTAAAACCAGATCTAAACCAAATCTAAACCAGGTCTAAAACCAGGACTAAAAGCAGGTCTAAACCAGGTCTAAACCAGGTCTAAACAAGGACTAAACCAGGACTAAAACAGGACTAAAAGCAGGTCTAAACCAGGTCTAAACCAGGTCTAAAACCAGGTCTAAAACCAGGACTAAACCAGGACTAAACTAGATCTAAACCGGGTCTAAACTGGGGCTAAAACCAGGTCTAAATCAGGACTAAACCAGGACTAAAACCAGGTCTAAATTAGGACTAAACCAGGACTAAAACAGGTCTAAACTAGATCTAAACCAGGTCTAAACTGGGGTTAAAACCAGATCTAAACCAGGACTAAAACGAGGTCTAAACTACACCTAAACCAGGACTAAACTGGATCTAAACTGGGGCTAAAACCAGGTCTAAACCAGGACTAAAAACAGGTCTAAACCAGGGCTAAAATCTGGTCTAAACTAGATCTAAACCAGGACTAAATCCTGCTGTGTGGATGTGTCTTGTCGTCTTCTATCAATAATATTTTTAATTTAGTTAAATAAAGTCTGGGCTTTTTATTTTCTTTTATCAGACAAAACTTCTTATGTGAAGATTTCCTCATCTTTGCTTCTCTACAACAAATCAAGTAATCCAAAGTATTCAGATTACATTACTGACTTTAAGTAATTTAATGGATTCTGTTACAAACTACATTTTGGTGTATGTAATCTGTAATCTGTAGGGGATTACATTTTAAAAGTAAACTTCCCAACTCTGTTTAGTGCCCAGTGTTTGTGTTGCCTGCAGCTGAATCCTCTTTTGTGTTTGAAACTTGACTCCAGGTGGGAACAGTATCAACATCTCCACGTTCGCCGCCGCTCGCCGTCGCCCCGGAGACCATCGCAGCATTTTTCACCTGCAGCGGCCACAGAGGAGAAGAACACGACCGTAACATTTGAAACATGGCCAGAAGAGAGGGGAAACAGCGCTCTTTCCTGTCCACAAACATCCCTCTTGGATACGAGATCGACCCGGACGAGAATATTCCGGTTTATAAGAGGGACTACACGCCGTTCAGCGTCAGGAAAACTGAGCCGGCGCCTGTTCCTCCTCCTGCCCTGGTGACACACAGAGATGCCAGGTACGGAACATCGTTTATTTCATTTACGTTTTTTGAATTTTAAATATTTCTCACTCAATTTCTCACTTTCTAAATCTGAAAAAAACATGTTTGAATTCAGAATTTCAGTTGATTCATTTTTATGTATACTTTTTGAATGTGTTTAAAATTTCAAAACAAAACATTCACCTTTTACTTTACCATAGGCTGAAACGCACCGAGACTTTGTAAGTTGTCCATTAAGACATGCCTTGAATTAAGGCCAATTTACAGTCCAGCGTCAAATCGTCGACGCGTACCCCCTACGCAGAGCCTCTGCGTCGACCGACGTGCACCTTTGAAATTTTCTAACTACGCGTCAAAACGGCGCAGACGGCAGGGGAAGCGACGCAGACGATAAGAGCTGTGATTGGTCCTCTGTACCACCGCTCTGTATACACTTCCTGTCAGTTTTTCTTTCTTTCAGTTTATATTGAGAAATAATGTGTTAATGCAGTTTTGCACATATGTGTTTACATTTTACAGAAACGAAACTTAAAACTGCATGGCTAAACTTACATAAACAAAGTGCTCATAAAACAGCTCACTCCTGGTACACGGTTCAGCTTCTGTCGGACTTAAAAAGGACACGACTCAGTGGAATATGAGTGTTGTTTCTGTGACAGAGTCACATTGTACTAATGGTGAGTCTGTTCTGTGCGTTTATCGTGTTACAGATGGTTCATGTTAAACTTTTCAGAGATTATACGTCTGCGGGACATACACACAGACCGTATATATGAATGGACAGATATCGTCGCCCCCTAGCGTTTTGGCACTGAATTACTTCGCGGTGCACAGACTTCAACACAGATCCATAAATCAAAAACGACGACGACAAGGCAACGGCTGCAGTGCGTGTTCAGTCGACGCAGATCTATACTTCAGCCTTAATGCCGCGCGAACAGTCGACCGCGTCCCTTACACCGCGTGGACAGTCCTTCCTTCTGTACAGCGCGCCAACAGTCCCCTTCTTCCGTACGTCGTGCTGCCTGCGCAACAAAACCAGAACTCAACCAGAACTAAACCAGGACTAAACCAGGTCTAAAACAGGATTTAGCTAGGACTTAACCATGCCGCCGGATCGCCCACCGCGCCTCCTCTCATACGCAGCCCAATTTCTTTCGCTTCTCCGTGTTTGATAGAGTTTAAGAAAGTAAAGGTTCCCATCCTGCGGGACTTGTGGGCGGGAGCGGGACTGAAATTTACAATTCTTACCTCTAGCTCAGACCCTGCGGAGGCTCGGAGTCAAAGCTCAGACTCAGCTCTGGTCCCGGTCTCAGTCCCGCTCTGGTCTCGGTCTGGTCCCGGACCTGGATCAGTCCTGGTTCAGTTCGTGTGCAAAAGTCCCACATCACAGTCACAGAAGTCACGTAAACGGGAAACGGTCGTTATCCGCTTTTTCCATTTTTCATTTAAACACAAAATCGAAACTAAAAATAAAAAAAATAAAAAATCGTTATCTGTTTTTTCATTTTGATTTTGGAGACAAATAATGAAGAAAACTGTTTTTTTTTTTTTTTTTTTTCTTATTTTTGGTTTTATATTGACAAACAAATTATTGAATGACACACGGTTTGTCTCGTATCAGCGACTTCTTAACAACACTCGGCCTCAGTCAACAGGGAAACGTGGCTCTTGCCCCCGTCTGGGAGTATGACGTCATCACATTCTAGAACCTGAAAACCTCCCAGTTCCATCAGGTTCACGGCGCCGATGACGTCATACATGTAACGTTCCATAAAGCCTTGTTACCGTGGCAACGCCGGAACTCAAAGCTGAACTTCAAAACTTTGAGATCCATAAAGCCTTGTTACCGTGGCGACTTCAGAACTCAAAGCTGAACTTCAAAGCTTCGTGGTCTTTAACTCAAAGCTTTGTTTGGCCTCGGGGAGATTATAAGAATAGGTAAATCGCAAATCACAAATCGTTTACCGGAAAAGGCACGTTTAGCTGAGCTCGACAAAAGCAGTGTGCAAACTTTACTCCACAGAAGTTACTGATTTACATTTTTTTTCACCAACCTTGAGAGTTTTTTCGTTGTAATGGCAGACAAAGACACTGAAGGATTTACCCCGGAGGAGATGAGGCGCATGTTTGAGGAGATCCGACGAAGCCGGACTCCTTCAGTCAAACCACAGCCTGACGAGTTGCCGAGGAGCAGGACGGGACGCAGACGTGGGCTGTCGGACACTGAAAGCCTGAACGAGCTGAGGAGATACACCCGTCGCTCTCGACCTTCATCGTCCCAGTCCACAGACGTCCAAGGCAGTGGCAGTTTCCCCCTGGATGAAGCTCTAGTGAAGAGATTATCACAGAAAATTGGACCTCTGCTTGACTCCCTCTTGGGGCTCGATTACAGCAGTGTGGACTTGTCGATGCTGGAGCCCAGACACCAGATGAAGGACACATTCATGGAACTCATCTTGGTTAGCTCCAGGGTGATACTCAGGGTTTTTAGTGGATCACGTTGCCCAAGGTCGCCTTTCCAGTGATCTCCAGGTGTCACAGGAGGCAGTGAAGGCTTCACTGGCCCCCATTTTCAAGCGCTTCTTCAGGACCTCAGGAGAGACTCAGTCCATGGACGAGGTCGTGGAGATGGTGAGCAGTGAGGTGACCTCCAGAGTCAACTCGGCCATGTCCCGCACCAGTTTTGAGGGGGACAAACCAGTGGTAAACAAGAGTGTACCACTTTACACCACGCCGAATCACAGGCTCAACAAGATCGCCAGCACGGCCAGAAAATTATTTAACTGCTGCCGTAAGCCGCGTGATCAGACACTCTCCCCTGAAGAGGAAACGTCTAATGTTCTCTCAACTTCTCAGGACACACTATCCTCACGTGTTCGCTCTACATCTCTGAAGGAGATGAAGGCCTCACCAAAGCCTGTGGACACGGACATGGAGGAGAGAATCAAGCGTTTCAGGGTTGCGAGAGAACTGAGACAGAATGGGTTGGGAGTGACACCAACCTCTGAAAACCAGCAGCACTGTGCATCATGGGCCCCGGATTCTACTCAGTCTCCCCTGCAGCTTAACGTGAGACCCGGCACTGCACCCAGTGGGAGAACACTCCGACCCCCTACTCCCACGTGAAACCCACACATCCGTAGATAAACAGGATGAAGACTCAGCACCAGCCAAACAGACTCAGATCTGTGGTGCTACATCTTTGCCGGAGCCCACATCTGCCTCTTCAGCCTCTGTGGATCAGGAGGAGCAGGAGAGGGTCCAGCGGAGTGGGCTTCTAGAGAAACTGGCTCAGAGCTGTGCACCTTGTGTCCGGCGCAAAAAGGAGGAGGAAGCAGCAGAAAGTTTCAGAGCCGAATCTGTTCTGTCACCCGTGCAGTGTTCCCCTAGAGGATGAACAGGAGGAGGATTTCTTGATTTTGGACTCCAGAGCTCAAGTCTCTGCTACATCTCTGCAGGAACAGCAGAGTGAGCTTCAAACAAAGCCACTCTCCACTGAGAACCTGTCTGCAGGTAATCAGGAAGAAGTGTTTAAGGCAGCTGCACAGGAACAGGTGAGTGCCCAAAGGACCAAGCTTCAGACGGTACATCAGGACCTGGTTCAGAGCTGTGCTCCCTGTGACCAGAGTCAGCCTACGTCTGAGACTGAGACTCTTGACACTGTGTGGAGCACTTCAAAGAGCTCTCTGAACAGGCTCCTCTGCTGTTACCCACGACATGCTGTGGAACCAGAGGAGAATCAGGGGGAGGCCTCACCTGTTCCAGGTCAGGACCCAGGACAGACCTCGCCCCCCTATAGACATTCTCAATATGAGTGGGAGGCAGAACATATCTGGAGCTTGGCTTATGAGGTGAGCAAGCGCGTCCTTCAGACCAAAAACATGTTTGAAATGCGCTCCATGTTCATCACACTGGTTGAGCTGCTGCAGTTAAACATGTGTGTGAATGGAACGTGAGGGTGAGACCTGACAGAGAGAACATCGTGGAAGTGGCGGAGGCCGTGTACAAAGACCTGTGCACAGGCTCCTCAAAGAAATTAGTTCAATTCTCTGCCATCATCAACGAGGATGAGTTTTTACAGACCACGATGGACACCATCCTGAGACACGTGGTGATGCCACAGAGAAGGAGCAGACTCAGCTCCTTCTGCCGAACACTGCGCCGCATTTTCTGCAGGTCCTGTAGGGGGCGCTAGCTCCACACAGGTCCTGTAGGGGCGCTAGCTCCACACAGGTCCTGTAGGGGCGCTACACAGGTCCTGTAGGGGGCGCTAGCTCCACACAGGTCCTGTAGGGGGCGCTAGCTCCACACAGGTCCTGGGGCGCTAGCTCCACACAGGTCCTGTAGGGGCAGTAGACCGAGCCCCACAGTAAACACCGCCTGGAACATGCTCCTCTGCATCGGATGTTCTTGATCCGATGGGGAGGAGCGGAACAGAGCAGAAGTTCTTTGGTGAAGGTGTTTAATGAGAGCAAATGTCTCCTCTGCACCGGGAGACCTTCATCTGATGAAGAGGAGACGTCATGTGGAGCTGTTTTTACTTGACACAGAGCGGCANATCGTATTTGTACAAAACAAAATACAAAAAAGTATTCAGAAGGATGTAAAATAAATTCTGTACATCAAAGCTACTATACAGACAATTAACTGGTTAATGCTGAAAAGTCATCTCAAAATATGTCTATAAATTGCCACAAACTTTAACAAAGTGCTCCAGATATACTGGTTATCATTCATTTTTAACATAAACTTATTCATTTTGCCGCTCAATGGGCTGGAAATGAGGAGATGCTTCAGATAGAAAAATAAAACTCATGTGGATTGATTGACATTATCAAGGTAGTTGTTTTCCTTCTGGTCACCTACTGGCTACATTTATGATCAAAATCACAACGAGCGCAATACAAAACACTTCCAATACAATGATCATGATGATGTATAGAAAATGTCTCATCAAAAAGTGGTGTAATCATATTGTGTCTAAATGTGTTTGTTGACATCCAACACACACATTTTATGTTTGCTACTTTTAAACTCTTTGAGTTTTCTGACCAACTGCATGTGATGTTTATAGTTTTGTTTTACCCACATTGTTGATGTATTTCAACAGGATAATAAAAATAAATAAATAAATAAATACATCTTTTGGAGGAACATGGAGTATTACATGTGAATATTACAATGAAATTGCAAGAAAACAACCAAACCGGGTTATTTTTGACTCACTTATTCATCTAAGGGTTAATGTGCAGGTTCAACATTACATAGGTATTACATAGGTAATCAACATTTCAACTTACTCAGAGGCTGAGATATTTCAGAAAAAGATTTTTAGCAGCCATTTTTTAAAAATTCAATATGACCGGCATATAGACATCTAGGCAAATGCAAACATTGATTTTCTAACTCCATATACTATAACCTTTCCAAAAATATATAGCTTAGCAAATCCCCTAAAAATTCCCACTAAGGTTAAAAAATGAATGTATGGAACCAGACAAATACGGGCATATTGGCTTCTAAGTTTTATTTTCATCATTATATTTAGAAAAAATAATGGTATCCATCCCTCTTAGACAAATGATGATTATTACCTTTTCTATGTGAGTGATGGGTAATAGTGTCACTGTGTGTATCCGTCTGCATCAGAGCAGCGTCTGGTGGTCAGCCTGAGTAATTACACTCACAAAGATTTCAGATGAAGTTTATGAAGAACTTAAAATAAAGGAACGTAACGTATTGTGATTCATTACCCCATAGCCGAACAGCTACTATTTAACAGTTCAAATTCATTTCATTTTAAATAGGGGAACCAAACTGGTCATTTTATTCCAGATTCATGTCCAATTTTAAGCTCCAATGGACTAAAAAAAACTATTTAAACAACAACAGCTTATGTCTCTATGGTAGAAAACAAAATAAGTAATTCAAACAGAGACTCTCCAAGTAATCCAAAGTATTCAGATTACGTTACTCACTTTAAGTAATTTAATGGATTCCGTTACAAACTACATTTTGGGGTATGTAATCTGTAATCTGTAAGGGATTACATTTTAAAAGTCACCTTCCCAACACTGGTTGTATCAATATTGCGATTTAACACAACATTGAAATCTCCTCCACACAACAATAAACCTTCAGATTCTTGTGCTACTATATTAAATACAGTTTTAAAAAAGGTTTAATTACTCTCTGGGGGAGCATAGATAGTAACTAACGTGACGAGTTTATTTTCTAATTTACCCTTAACTAACACGTATCTGCCATCTTTGTCGGACACCTCTTTATAAGAGTCCAAATTGACTGAATTTGCTATTAAAATAGCTACTCCCCTTTTCTGACTGGGCTTGTAAGAGCTATAATACATATTTTTGTACCAGAATTTCTTCAATTTTACATGTTCTTGTGGAGGCAAATGTGTCTCCTGCAGAAAGATAACCTGAGCATTCTCTTTTTTGAGCTTAGTTAAAACCTTACTTTCTTTCTTTTAACTGATTGTTCAGCCCATAAATGTTCAATGACACCAGTTTGATATTATTAAAAGGCATGTAGTCGTCCCTCAGATTCAATCAAAATGCAGAGAGCTTCGACTGGTGCCAATATTTTTACTGATTTAAGCAACATCAAAAAGCACCATAAAAACTACACGGGAAAGAAAAACAGAAAAACATGAATATTTAGCAGTCAAATCAAATATACTAACATAAATGATAACTAAACTCAAATTCATCACATTTACTAATATATATAAAACAAACAAACAAGTACCTGGCTCCGCTTTCTGAGGGCTGCAAGTGTTAAACAAGTTGTTACGGTGATATGACATTTCCACATGTCTCAAGCATGGATCTAGCAAGTTGGAAGTGCAGCTCTTTTTTTGGAGGGGTGTGGCTGAACAGGTAAGGCTAGGGCGCCATCTGCTGGAAGGGCAGACATTTACAAGGCATGTACTTTGTGTAACTGTAAATTCTAACTCTCCAGACAACTTAAACTAGCACAGCCCTGAAAAAGTGGCCAACATACAAAACACGTCAAATAAAACGCAAAAATTAAAGAAAAAAGAGTTTGCTTCCAAGTTAAGGTGAACACTTCGCACCCAAAGTCCCCATTGGCTGAGGGGAACTACTCTCCGATGAGGGCCCCTCCCTTGAGGTGAAACACGCAGCCTCTCACATCCAAAAGTCCAACGTTACCCAACAGCAGCGTCGTCATTCTAGCCAAGTCAGTTATTATAAGCTATACCAAAATATAGATATGAAACTTTTTCCTTTCCTTTTTTTAAATTATTTTTTTTAATAAACCGTTTAAAGTCAGAAACACAGAACGATTAACATATTTTCCCCAAGTCTGAGCCGTGTGTACATTTTGACACAAATATCTAGCAGCTGTTGTAGTAGTCGTTGTAACAAACGTCCTCCCTGGTCGCGCTGCGTCCTCCCGAACACTATCCTCTCCACTTAAACGCCGCTTCGTTGTCACTGTGATGCCTGCGAAAGACTCTCCATTTCCGGACTTATCTCCGCTGGATCCAATGCCGGTGTTCCGGTGCACCGGAAGACGTCTCTTTTTGTTTTTCATATATTTGACTTGGTCTGTACTCTTAGGGAACATATTTTCACACAATATAATAACAATATAATAAAAATTATATAATAAAAACAAAAAAACTACATCCGTTCTCTGGCATTAAAATGTATCTTTATAGATGCTGTGTAACTTTTTGGTTGGGGTCCGTCACCTGCCTGGAAAGTTCCACAGTATAACATTAAACACCTTTCATTTAAATGTTTTCATGTTTGATTGCGTTCACACTGGACAAACTTACCGCACTTTAGGGGCAATGTTTTTTTGAGTTTTCAAACAATCTTAACACGTATTTGGTTGTGTTTACGAACGTGTGCACTGCTTCTAACATTCCATGCACGAGCCACACACAGCGGAATAGAATGTAGTGACGTCATCATCTATTCGAATTCCCATTCCAATTCAATTCACAGGTGCCATGGCAACCTTTAAAGCCTTTGAAGTTTTGTGACCTCAAAGCGAAAGAACATTGTAGGTTTAAGTTAGTACACTACATTTAACAGATCGAACTAGACAAGCACTTGTGAAATCTAGCAGTTAAAAGAGATAATCTACTTTATGTTCCATTGTAGATCCGCGGCGTCACCGTCCACATCTTCACTGACAAATACACACAACAGAGACCAAACAGCAGACCCCATGGACAAGTACGAAATAATACAGACCATTGGGGAGGGCGTTTACGGGGAGGTCATGAAATGCCTCAATAAACAAACGGGGCAAATCGTGGCTTTAAAAAAGGTAAAAGCGTCCGATGAAGTAGATGACGTGGTAAACCAAGAGATTTCAATGCTCAACGCAATCAGACATTTCGACCCGGATAAATGTAACTTCATCCGGTTTCATAATCACGTTCAATCTGTTGTGGTGGAGCACTACTTAGAGTTTGAGATGCTGGACCAGAGCGTCTGGGACCTCATGGTGAAGCGACACCACGCGGGGTTTTCGTTGAGCGAGGTCCGCACCATGGCCAGACAGCTCCTAGTCGCATTAGACAGTCTGCGCAGCATTGGGGTCATTCATACCGATATTAAGCCGGACAATATCATGTTAGTGGATCACACGAAGAAGCCGTTTAAGCTCAAGCTAATCGACTTCGGGTTGGCGATCCACAAAGAGACAGTGAAATTAGGCTGTAACATGCAGGCCCGATTGTACAGAGCCCCAGAGGTCATTTGTGCCAACCGCTGACTGAAGCAGTAGACATGTGGAGTCTGGGGGTCTGTCTCCTGGAATTGTATCTGGGCGATGTACCTTTTTGCTCGCTATCGCCATACGATCACATCAGGCAAATTACGCATCTCCTCGGAGTTCCTGATGCTCAGACGATAGAACAGGCTGAGCAAGGGACCATCTTCTTTAAACAGGAGAGTGATGGCGAGTGGAAACTAAAAACGCCACAAGAATTTGCAGGGTCGACACGTAAGGTTCCTAAAATGGGAATGAGTCCACTAGAGGCGGCGAGTGATCTAACACACGGCATCTTAGATTATTATACGGTTGAATCGTGGATCGAGTTCAACGACAGGGTTGCTTATGCGGATTTAATCACGAAAATGCTATGCGTTAATTCCGCAAACAGAATGAGTCCGGCTGGCGCTCTCCAGCACCCCTTTATCACCATGCAACATTTTAGCGGCTACCTTACCAACGCCCTAAACCTGATGACATGTCAGCCCTGCGCGAGTTCTGAGTCAGACATGGCAGCGCACGAGCGAGATAATCACGTTATAACTCCCATGCCCCCTCCCTGCGCCGACCAGAACTCCCAGTGTCACGCTAGAACGTCAGAAGGAGAAATCTGGTGTGGTACAGACGATATAAATGATCCTGTAAACCACGCTGAAAGTAACGATCTGCGACTAGATTCTAAAATTGAACCTAATGAGGAGGATTCTGGAGTTGAAATTGGGCAGTTACAGTTGACCGATTTATACTCAACTTCTTCAGAATCAGGAGAAGAAGCTGAAAGTTCAAACAAAGAGTTGGCTTTCTGTTCTTCTCCTATAGAAACCTATCTGGGAACCCTGTTAGGAACAGACGAGTCGGGCTTTGAGCCGTCAGTCGCTCTATGTTCTCCCACAATACATACTGTTGCTGACGAGCCAACTACAAGCCCACAATCTACGAACAACGCAATTTTAGAGGAGACTGTGGTCGGCCAGCCTTCAGTAAGAAAGAGTCTTGCAACGCTCTTATTACCTGAAGAGCCGGGCTTTGCACCATCAGTTGTTCTGTATCCTCCTATGACCTGTACAATGGATACATCCCAAATGTCTACTGTCATAATCTGGCCTCCCACAAATCCAGTAACATCAACAGATGAACCAAACATCTGCAATGATCAAACTGCGATCCAAGAAGCAGTAATCGTTTGGGATGAACCAAAGGAGGAAAACCTTCTGTGTACTTCTTGTTGCTTAAGTCTCTTTGGCCAGTGTTAAACTTCTTCACGTCCCCATTCTGTCTGTTTTCGGGGGGAAATAAAAAAAGAGGGGGGAAAATCCAGGATGTTTAAGACCTGGGGTAATGTGAGGGAGTTTCTTCTGAGTTAAATCACTGAACGGAACCTTAGCCAAGGAATGTGAAGTTCTTTTGAGAAGGTTTGTTCAGGGTAAATACCCAGAAGAAAACTCACTTTGCTCCACTTTAGATTCTTCCCTTTCCTTTTGATTCTCTGGAGTTTTGGATGCAAGGAAACACATTATAATGGTGTGTCCCAAACTTTAACTACTGACTGACAATTTAACCATGGGTTTGCGCCTTGGTAAAAAAAAAAAAAAATATATATATATATATAGCCGCAAGTGGCAATGATCGGCCCTCGCGCGTGCTTGCGCCGCGCTCCGCAAACGCGCGCCCGCAAACGCCGCAAACGCGCGCCCCGCAAACGCCGCGCCCGCAAACGCCGCGCCCCGCAAACGCCGCGCCCCGCAAACGCCGCGCCCCGCAAACGCCGCGCCTCACATTGACCCTAAACTAAAGGTTTAAGCCTAAACTCAAACCTTACCCTAATCATAATCCTAACCATAGCCCCAACACTAGCCCTAAAAATCTTAATCTAACTCAGCAATTTTCAAAATTTGGCATCCATCCATCCATTTTCGTCCGCTTATCCGGGGCCGGGTCGCGGGGGCAGCAGCCTAAGCAGGGACTCCCAGACTTCCTTCACCCCAGACACGTCCTCCAGCTCCTCCGGGGGGACCCCGAGGTATCCCAGGCCAGCCGAGAGACATAGTCCCTCCAGCGTGTCCTGGGTCTTCCCCGGGGCCTCCTCCCGGTGGGACATGCCCGGAACACCTCCCGAGGGAGACGCCCAGGAGGCATCCGGAACAGATGCCCGAGCCTCAACTGGCTCCTCTCGACGTGGAGGAGCAGCGGCTCTACTCCGAGCTCCTCCCGTGTGACTGAGCTCCTCACCCTATCTCTAAGGGAGCGCCCAGCCACCCTGCGGAGGAAACTCATTTCGAGCGCTTGTATCCGCGATCTCGTCCTTTCGGTCACTACCCAGAGCTCATGACCAGAGGTGAGAGTAGGAACAAAGACTGACCGGTAAATCGAGAGCTTCACCTTTCGGCTCAGCTCCTCTTCACCACAACGGTCTGATACAGCGACCGCATCACTGCCGAAGCTGCACCGATCCACCTGTCAATCTCACGCTCCGTCCTTCCCTCACTCGTGAACAAGACCCCGAGATACTTGAACTCCTCCACTTGAGGCAGAGACTCTCCACCCACCTGAAGAGGGCAAGCCACCTTTTTCCGATCAAGAACCATGGCCTCAGACTTAGAAGAGCTGATCTTCATCCCAGCAACTTCACACTCGGCTGCAAACCGCCCCAGTGCACATTGCAGGTCCTGGTTCCATGAAGCCAACAGAACAACATCGTCCGCAAACAGCAGAGATGAAATCCTGTGGTCCCCAAACTGGACCCCCTCCGACCCCTGACTGCGCCTAGAAATTCTGTCCATAAACACAATGAACAGAACCGGTGACAAAGGGCAGCCCTGGCGGAGTCCAACATGCACCGGGAACAGGTCTGACTTACTGCCGGCAATGAACACAGCTCCTGCTCCGGTCATACAGGGACCGGACCCCATACTCCCAGAGCACCCCCCACAAGTTTATTTTTGTGTCATTCGTATTCCCTAATGCATTTTTGAGTCGTTTGGTGGCGCTGACGAGCCATTTTATTTATTTTTGGAAAATGGAAATAGCCAAAACGTAGGGAAGCGCGAGTTTTACCAGATGGCAAAATTTCAGGACTTTTCGTCATTGTTTAGTGGGTGAAAAATGGGTGAGTTGGTTAGGAGGAAAATAATAAGAAGAAAGAAAGAAAGAAAGAAGGAAAGAAAGAAAGAAAGAATAATATTCCGGTACGAGAACAATGTTCCGCTTTTTTTTGGCCGACAAACTATACGTTTTCGGAAACCTCAGGCGCATTGCTACGTGATGGCGAGGGTCCCTGGTCACTACGGGCGAGTCACATCGCGCCATTCCATTTTTCGGCCACTTGGAGCATCGCTTTGCGATACTAATAGGCCCTTCGCCGGCCTTCGGCGCTCGGGCCTAATGAGATTTTTTTTTAACCCTCTCAGGCTCAAATTAATTTTTAGTATCAGGAAAAATCTGATATTTGGGGAAAATTATCATATGGGGTAGTAATATACAATCCTGACTTTTTTATCCTTTGTAAGCAAAAAAAAAGTATTTTGCACTTCTGGCCGTTTGCGTGTAGTCGTTCTTGCACAGTCTGCATCATCCACGTTTATCAGCCTGGATGGGAGAAACGGCTCCTGAGTAAAAAAAAGGTAATAAAATATGGATATAAGGAGTAAGTAGGTAATTGGAATTTAGCTGTTGCAAATCTGCCACACCTGCCTGGAGAGGGTTAAAGTAAGGCTTTTATTTGCTTTGGGTTTTGTTGTTGTAGTAGCTTCCTCCGTCCAGCGGGGGGCGCGGGCTCGGCTCCGCGGCGGAAGTGGAGCGACACAAAGGCAGCGTTAGCTCCGGGCTAAAGCTAAAGCCACTTTGTGCAGAAATGTCGGATAAGGGTCAGATTTTCCGCGCGCTGGTGACGGAGCGGCTCAGCGCGGCGGCGGAGGAGATCTGCGCGCTGTTCGAGAGAACCGTGGCGGAGTACGAGGAGGAACTGTGGCGCTCCAAACGAGAGGAGAGCCGCAGGAGGGAGCCGAGGACCCCGCGGCTCCTCCTGCAGACCGGAGCCGCGGAGGAGCTGCGCTCTCCGGGCTCACGCGCCGACGTCCCGCGGCCGCACGCGCCCTCAGGTCTGGAGCTAAAGCTCTAACACGGGTTATTTCAGCACGGGAGAGACTCTGAGCTCTGAGCCACTTCTGCTCACGGGTTTGTCTGAGTCTGAGTCTGACCTCATTCTGTGACCTCCTCCTCCTCCTCCTCTTCATCTTCCTCACGCGCAGCTTTAACCACAATGAATGAATGAAACTACAGTTTTACAGGAAGAGTTCAGTAGTGGTCGTCATTTACTCATTTATTTATTTATTTACTTTTGTTTCTTAAGGACATCACAGTTGCATTAGGTCAGAGATGTTCACACTTTTTCATCATGTGATCTACTTACAAAATGACCAAGTCATAATGATCGACCTAATACAAAGCCAAGCAAACTGCACTGAAACACTCTGTGGCCCTTTTCTGGACCCTCCCCCACAGTTTGAGAACCTCTTCTTTAAAAGAACTTCCTCTGGCACTTTACACAAAACTGTGAAAAAAGTGAAGGAAGATTTTTAAATCTGTTTTTTAAAGTTCCAAACTGGAGTTTCATTCTTTTCTGGTTTTGCAGTGATATTTACCAGCCTCTGCACGTTTACCAAACCAAACGCACATCGTGACAAACACAGATGCATTTGTCACTTTTGTTAGACAAACTTCAGCCAAATGTGGCAGTAGATCCGCTCTATGCTGTAGACCTGCTTTGTGCCAACACTGGAACACAAATTTAGACTGGTTTTTGCTTCACGTTTGGTCTTGCTCTTCTAATCAGCCGCACTGTGGGAGGGGCTTGTGTTGGCTGTACGCAGGAAGGAGCGAGAGCGTGAAAAGGCGAGGGGCGGCGTGCTGACGTGAGGCAGATGGACAGGTAGGATGTTTAGGAAGTTGAACCTGCCCTGTGATGCACGCTGGTACACGAGGGCACACGCTGTCGCAGACGAGCCGTGCATAGGGAGCGTGTGTGTTTGTGATGCGCCGTAGAGTCTCCGCGGGTTTCAAATGAGCGCACAGGCTGCACTGAGACGCCCCACACGCTCCTGCACCCGCTACAAGTTTATTACCAACAGCAATGAAATATGATCACACTTGTGGAGTGTCAGACCTCGAGTGAGAGACAAGACCGAGTCCAAACGCGAGTCCAAGACGAGACACGGAGATCTACACACACGACCTTGGAGATCGACTGGTAGATCGAGATCGACGTATTGAGCACCACTGCATTAGACAAACCAGATGTTTTGAGTGTTTTAGCTCAAGTGTCAAGTTTTCAACATCTGTCCATAAAAAATATAAAAAACAGAAGTTACACACAGATCAAATATGTACAGTGCATTTTAAATTCATGCATTTTTGATTGGAAACATACAATAATTTACATTTACATTTGTTGTTGTTGGTTTCCAGTTCCAGAGTCTGACTCAGAGTTTGTCCTGAACATAAAAACACATTTACCACGAGCCGCTCGTCTGGTTTTCACTCTGTGTGTGAACAGTTTATGGTCCTGACAAGTTCTGAAATCAGTATCACAGTTAAAACACTTAAAAAGGAATTTAAGATTATTAAAACTGGTAACATTTTCAATGTAGTAGTAGTAGTAGTAATAGTAGTAGTAATAATAGTAGTAGTAGTAGTTTATTGAGTCATTTTTCTTGTTATGTGATAAAACCATCAGCTGTTGATCTGCTCATTCGTGAATCACTGTAAATATGTGAGCTTCATTTTGCCTCCACTTGTCTCAGTTCCAGAGTTTTGAACATTCTGTCGTTGACTCATTTTTGTGTTTTTACAGACGTGAAGGTGAAATCTGCCACAGAAGAAGAAGAGGAAGAGGAGGAGGAGTGTCGCGGGTACGATGAAAATGACACTCAGACGACCATCATCAAAGAAGAGTTCATCAAACAGGAGGAAGAGGAGCAGCTGCAGGACTTCAGCTTCTTCTCCGGGAAGAACGACGAGGACGGCGAGCACACGGACCACGAGGACGACTGGGAGGCGCCGTGCAGCAGCTCGTTCCGGCGCGGCGAGGCCGAGCCCGAGGTGGACTACTTCAGTCAGGTGTACATGCAGGCGCTGGAGCGCAGCGGGCAGAACCCCAACAGGACGCCCGCCGCCAGGCAGCCCAAGTGCCCCGAGTGCGACCAGGAGTTCGACCTGAAGGAGGATCTGCAGACGCACATGCTGGAGGTGCACGGAGGAGACAAACCCATCAGCTGCCCCGTCTGCGCCCGAACGTTCACGCGCAACGGCTCGCTCAAGCTGCACATGGCCATGCACATGCACGAGAAACCGTACAGCTGCCCCGTGTGCAACCGCGGCTTCACGCAGAAGGGGAACCTGCGCTCGCACATGGCGCAGCACACGGGCGAGAAACCGTTCAGCTGCTCCGAGTGCGACGCTCGTTTCCCCATCAAGAGGACGCTGCTGCGCCACATGAAGCTGCACACGGGCGAGCGGCCGTACAGCTGCCCGTACTGCGACAAGAGCTTCACGCGCAAAGAGCACGTGCGCTTACACATGGCCGTGCACACGGGTCAGGCCACGCCCAAAAAACGCCGCGTGATGCCCACGAGGAGTGAGCGCGACGGAGCCGACACGTCCAACGACTCCAGCGGCGCCGGGTTCTACGGGGGCGGAGCCAACGAATAACGCGCAGGACGCCATGAACGCCACGAACGCCACGAACGCCACGAACATCATGAACATCATGAACATCATGAACATCATGAACATCATGAACATCATGAACGCAGAGGGAGCAGAGACGAGATGATTCGTCAGCTCCTGTGTCTTTGTGTCATGAGTCTAAAATAAGTTTTCGTGTAAAGGCCAAAGGCAGAAACCGACATGTGGGTCAATCTGTGTGAAATCAGCCCCCCCCCCCCCCCCCCATGATCCGTCTCAGATTTGGCTGAAAATATTTCCAAAAATGACCAAGTGAAAGAATCTCAAATTTTATCTCAGTCCCTCGAGTTGTTCCTGAGTTTTGGCGGTGAAATGTTGGGGCCATGTTCACTTTTTCTGAAACATTAAAGTATAAACATGTTTGAGACCAGAACTTCATCAACAATAGAACTAGGAACTAGGAAACTGAACATTTGAGTTATTGTAGATTCTTGGTTTGGTTGTCACTCAATTTTTTTTCAAGTTTTTGAGCTCCAAGATCTATTTCCTCCAAGCAGATCTTTACAAACTGAACCTGAATATTTGACAGAATGAACATTTTTGACACAAATCTCTCACTGTTCTGAGTTTTCATGTGGACGGTGTCGAGTCTCAGTCCAGGTTTGATCTTTTTGGCTCCTTTTTTAGAGCTTCGGTTCCTCATGTGACACAGTTCGATGTTGATCAAACTTGTACCAGAGAAACTTTGTCAGATTCAGATTATTTTAAAGTCATAAAAACATTGACTATTAACTTCCTTCATTTCAAACGGAATTTTTGAAAATGAGTCTTGTGGGTCATTTTTGGTGGAGCTCAGGGACTTTTCCACCTGATACAAAACTTAAATTATCTTTAATAAACTTAAACAGTATTTGTTTGTTCTAAGTGAAGACAGTTGGAGATTATTTGTGGTACTTTGTTTGTGACGGTCAAAACTCAGGAACGATTCAAGGGACTGAGCTAAAATTTGAGATTCTTTCATTTGGTGATTTTAGAATTCTTTTTAAAAAAATTTTCAGCCAAATCTGAGACGGATCTTGGAGGAGATTTCTTGAAAACATCTGATTTCACACGGACTGACCCATGATCATTATTTGTTTGATTTTGTCCAGACTTTCATCTGTTATAAGAAAAAAACTCGAGTCGTGATGAGTTTGTTTAAATGATCCAGAAGAGTTTTGGATTTATTTCTGATCAGGATCGAGCGGCGACACTTTTACACCGAGAAACAGTTTGACACGAGTGACTTCACACAGAACGGTACAGTCTGAATAAAAACACACAAATACTCTCACTTTAAACATCACTGACGTTTAACTGAATTCAAAGGTTTTATTTATTTCATGTGTTCAGACTCTGAGCTGAGACACAACAAAAAGAACGAGGCCAGAGTTTGGATTTTAAAATAAAATATATTTATGAACTAAATCACAAACAGAACACATACTGTTTTTGGACTTTTTGTCTTTGCACGAAAACTTATTTTAGTCTCATGATACAAAAGCAGAGAACAGGAGCTGACGAATAAGTTCAAAGGTCAATTTAGAGCTCAGTATTTTTCAGGATATTTACAGGCGAGTTTGAGCTGGCGTCATTGTTTTTAAAAGCCCGCGTTGCTGCTGGGAAATATTTTGGTCGGAGGCAAGAAACACGGTAGCGTCAAACACAGTGTGTAACCTCGCGTATTTATCCTTGATAATGGTAAATTCCTGCCGCATTATCGGACGCACAAATAGAAGCACGGAAGAAGGAAAATGTCTTTTTCATATTCTGAATGAATTAAACGACTTTCAAACTAGTGACGGGCATTCGATGAAATTTTCTTAATCGATCGTCGGAAGAATTAACAATCGATTAATCATGAACGTTTATATTAAAATGATCATCATTATTATTACTATCTGCACTAATCTGCATCAATAAATTCAACTTTACGACATATAAACATAACGACTCTAGAGCCACATCAGCTGTTTGACATTATAATGTGTTTAATTCAGTTTTGTTCAAATCTCACAGAAACAAAACTTAAAACCACATCACTAATTTACATAAACTAAGTGAAGATAAAACTCCAGCTCTTGTGTCGCTGATGTGGTTCAACTTGTGTTGGATTAAAAGACATGACTCAGGTGAATACAGGTCAGTGTGACCAGATTTGTGTTTGTCAAAACCAGGAACAGCGTACGGGGGGAGGGGGGCGGGGCCTCGTCATCCACATTGAGCGACTCTCACCTGGAAAAACTTTTTCCCACTGGACACAGAAACATATGTGCTGCTTTATCCACTGTGCACATGGACTCACACTTGTCCCAACGCAACAGAAAGTGTGGAATTTCTTCTACAAATCCTGGTTAAATCCACATTTGTGCTTCGGTTCGTTACAGACTGACCCACTGTTTGTGTCTCGCTCCTTCTGATGCAGAGACACATGTACACACCTGTTTGGTCACGACACACACACATACATTCAGTTTGTCCATTAAAATTAACATAATCCATGAAATTCTTAAGGATCAATTATCGATTAATCGATTAATCTTGCCCATCCCTATTTCAAACATCCGCAGAGCAAACGTAGAAGATCCTAACAAACCGTGGACTCCAACAAGTTCAACAACACATCCAGACTCTTGGAGGTTTTCATCTTTTCTGTTGTGAATGACCCAGGAGTTTCCACCAAGTGCACAGCAAAAACTGGAGGGTTAAAATTTTAGGGTAAATTATTTCAGAGTTTTTAACACCAAAAGTGTTATTTTAACTATTTGAAAGTTAAATGGGGGTTCGAGTTGGGGTGATTTGCCAGAGTTGATGTGGTTGAGGTTAATTCAACTTCTCTTAGTGTTACTTTGGCTCCTCCCATTCACCACTTCAAACTCTTGTGAGAGAAGAACCAGTTTGAACCAGTTTTGTCCATAATTTCACCTTTAATGAACTAAAATAAAGTAAAAAATAAAATAAAACACCTCTGCGTGTTGTTTAGTTAAATCAGGATAACTCTACAAAGTGTTATCTGTTTACTCTCAAAACATGAATATAACTCTAGATTTCAGAGTTAAACAGGAAGTTTGGTCCAGCGTTACTTCATGAACATTTCCAAAAATGTTAAATTAACTCTAGAACAGAGTGACTCAGATAAACACTGAGAAAATGTTCAAATTGATTCTGTGAGGGTCGATTTTAACACTCCACTTTTTGCTCTGTGATTGTGGATGTCGCCCAAGTGAATATTTGTCCAGGTAGTTGGAGATTCTGACCAGAAGTTTGGTTTGGTCCAGGTTCTGTTGAAAAGGGTGATTTGTCGTCCGTCGATGTTTATGACCAATTTCTGGTCAAATGGTCTTGGGTCGTCTGCCGTTAGAGTGGAGAAATAACCAGGATCAATACTCTTTACGTGTTTTCTCGCTCCGTCCGTCATGTTCAATTAGTGTTTCTTGCCGCCGACCAAAATAATTCCCAGCATGAAACGCACGCTTTTGTCAACAGTGAAACTCGCAGTGTTCAGCGTTTGGACGGCGCAGAGCGAGTCTCCGAAACGTCAAATCCACAAATACGTTTATTTATTTATTTTTCTCCGTGATGAGCTCCGTCCTCCCGCCTCGACACCGACAGATCACCGCTTCTGGGAGGGCATCTGACGCACGCCACACGCCGCACGAGAGATTTAATTCTGAATCAAAATCATTTAATTCTGAATCAAAATGAATTCTGATTTAAAAAGTCCATGTAAACACTTCAGTCCTTATGAAAATGATGAAAAAGAAAACCCAATCAGACGCTTCCCCACCTCCAGACGCTCACACACGTTAAATAAAAAAAACATTTCACCGGTTTAACACGAAAACAACAACGAGAAGATTTGAATTCAGAAATATTGAACTCAGAATTAAAAACCCTCATGTAAACGTGGACGCTGCTCCTCTGTTCAATCTGCGAGCGTTTATGGCGTCTTCTGAAGTGACCTCTGACCCCGCAGACCTCAGATTTGTCGTTCGTCGTCGTCGTCGTCTTGAGCCTGGACTTTGGCCGAGTCGTGCATGTGTCAGAACTTTAGAGCGAAACTTAAAACTTACTGTAAAAAAAAAAAAAAAAAAAGATGTGTCGATCTTATGGAGTCGAGCTGCACGATACGAGGAAAAGAATCGATATGTGTTCACGGTTTTGTGTTTGCGATACCGATTTGATTTGGTGTTTTAATTTACTTTTTGGCACAAGAACTTGAAGGTCCTTTATGACCAGAAATGGATCCCTGTGAATTTTAAGTCGTGTTCTAATGTCCGTCGTCAAAAACAGAGCTGGAGTCGTGTTTGTTTCATTCACATGTTTGATTGACTCTTTATTATTATTTATTATTTCGTGTGTTTACATCTGCAAAGCTCCAAACGCTCTGCTCCACCCTGTGATGTCATGAAGTGGGAGTTTTCACGTGGACGGCTCCTTTTCCGTAAACCTCAGAGAAGAAAAACGTCCTGACTCGCTGCACAAGACGAAATGTAAACACTGAAAAACTCATTTGTTTCTTTGTACTTCTTCGCAGATATGATATTCACAGAGCAAACTTCTCCAAATCTAAACCAAAATAAATACTTTTTTAATTTCAATCCTTTCAACAGTCATCCTGGAAAAGCTTTATCAGAAAACAATATTTACAAAGACGACTACAAATCACCGAATTAACCACTGATGCTTCCCAAATCTAAACTGCTCATGTTTTTATCTTCTTGTTTCCTTTATTAGCCTTGATTCAGGCCCCGTTTACACGGACACGGGTGTTTTTAAAAACGGAGACATTTCCCTTCGTTTGTTCACGTCGTTTACACACAAACGGAGAATTCGCCTCTGAAAACGAATCTTTCTAAAAACTCCGACTAGAGTGGAGATTCTGGAAAACTCCGGTTTCACGTTTGCTGTTTGTCCAAAGACGAATCCAAGTCCACACACTTCTGCAGATTTACTCCTGAAAACACTCGACTAAACCTGGAATAAAAAGTGAAGACGCGATGACACTTTTGAGTTTTCTGTTCAGGCGTCGTCATATAAACGTCGTTACAGCTTCTTCGGTAAAAGTCGTTGGAGGTGGGAGGAGCACGGAGACCTGACGGAGCTGTGGACGATCCAGAGACCGAGAGTTTAGTCGAGTAAAGCGACAGACACATGCCCAAAAACCGTAACTACGTATAAACAGAACTTCACTACGAAATGGTCAATTGAAACTTTCTGGTTAAGTCTCTTTTGAAAAACTGGGACATTTTCTATTTTTTTTCATAGATTTTGTCAGACTTTAGTCCAGGAGTGTCAAACTCATCTTGTTCTGGGCGTCGTGTCCAACCGACTTTGATCCAAAGTGTCCGGATCAGAAAACTCATGTCATATAAACCCCAAAAATAACAAGAAGTTCAAATATATGTGCAGAGAAACACAAATCTATTACACAAATCTTTTTTAATTGATGAACTCTTTCTTTTACTAAATATTATAATATTATGAACAACCTGAAACTTTAAGAAAAATACAATTTCAACACAAAGTTTGAACATGAACTTGTCTGTAAACAGAATAAGTCAATTTTTGTTGTAAAATCCTGCACTCGGCTCCACTTTTCTCATGTTGGACATTTTTCTGATGAGGGTGTCACGGTCAACAGTCAAAACGATCGTCCTTTAAGAGCGTTTGGAAAGAGACAAGTCTTCATTTGTGCTGCTCTGGTGGGAGGGGCCACGTACAGAGACGCTGGAGACGCTGCTGTGATAAACACCACAGAAAATTAACAACATTTTAATAAAAAATATCATTCAACTATTTTAGTAGAAAATGAGCCGAGGGCCAGATTAAAGGTGTTGGAGGGCCGGATCTGGCCCCCGGGCCGTATGTTTGACACCTGTGATTTAGACTTTCAACTGTGAACAGAACCCGCCGGAAGTTGTCGTCGCATGTTTCCAAACATCTTCCAGTTTTTGGGACGTAAACGTGAACAGAGATTATTCATCTGTCTACGCCTCCAAAGCTCTAAACCAGAGTGTCAAACATACGGCCCGGGGGCCAGATTCGGCCCTTCAAGACCTTTAATGTGGCCCTCGGTTGATTTTCTACTAAAATATTTTAATAATATTTTCTATTAAAATGGTGTTAATTTTCTGCGGTGTTTATCACAGCAGCGTCTCCAGCGTCTCTGTACGTGGCCCCTCCCACCAGAGCACAAATGAAGACTTGTCTCTTTCCAAACGCTCTTAAAGGACGATCGTTTTGACTGTTGACCGTGACACCCTCATCAGAAAAATGTCCAACATGAGAAAAGTGGAGCCGAGTGCAGGATTTTACAACAAAAATTGACTTATTCCTGTTTACAGACAAGTTCATGTTCAAACATTGTGTTGAAATTGTATTTTTCTTAAAGTTTCAGGTTGTTCATAATATTATAATATTTTGTAAAAGAAAGAGTTCGGTAACACTTTATAATAACTACACCTTATTTAGCCTTAATAAAGCATGAACAAAGACTTAATTAATAATGATTCACACTTAGTAAATGTTTAATAAAGGATCATTCGTCTTCACTCTAGAAAAGCTCTCAAAAAGACTAAACTAACAGATAACAGCTGCATGAATGATCATTGTATTGTGTTATTAGTAAATCATTCTCATAGTTTATTAATGATTAATAAATGCTCAAATGGTTAGTTCATGAGTAATTAAGTATGAAATAATTATGAGTAACTATTTACAGCACAGGCAAATTAAGTGCTAATTAAGGTAGTAATAAAGTAGTTACTAAGTGTGAATCATTATTAATTAAGTCTTTGTTCATTATTAATTAAGTCTTTGTTCATTATTAATTAAGTCTTTGTTCATGCTTTATTTAGGCTAAATAAGGTGTAGTTATTATAAAGTGTTACCGATTTCTGTAATAGATTTGTGTTTCTCTGCACAAATATTTGAACTTCTTGTTATTTTTGGGGTTTATATGACATGAGTTTTCTGATCCGGACACTTTGGATCAAAGTCGGTTGGACTCGACGCCCGGAACAAAATGACTCTGACACTCCTGGACTAAATGTTCATGACGTGGGAGTTTTTAAGTGACCAGCTCCTTTTAACTTTTAGTTGAGGAGAGATGAACAACTCCAGGACTGAAAAAAAAAAAAAAGGACAAAACAAAAAAGACGGCGGAGGAAGAACAGTCGTCCTGAAACTCCTCGTACATTCAAAGAGTCGACTACAATCAACTGGCTGTAATATCTCCTCCTCTTGGTGCTTTTTTTTTTAACCTCAAACACGGTCAAAAAAATAAAATTAAAAAAGACAAACTAGATGAAGAAACCTCACTGGTCCTGCTCAGTTCTTCGTGAAGCTGAGAAAACGTCAAAAGAAAGTTTCCAGCGTCTCGAGAACCTACAAACAACTCGAAACCAAGAATACGGAGAAATGGCGCCGTCACTTCTGTGGAGTTTAAAAACACGGTGGAGCTCTTATTGTACCACCCTGTGACATCACCAGGTGGAGCAGAGTGTTTTCTTTGTGTCAGAGAGAAGAGCTCGTGTGAAATGTGTTTGTGAGTTTAAACGTGTGAATGAAACAAAAAAAAAAAACACAACTCCAGGTTTGTTTGTGACGAGGAAACGACTTTAGGACAAAGTGATAAATTAAATAAAATCACAAACAAAACTTCAGTCACTCCACAAAAATAAGAATTTAACTGAAACCGAAGAGAAAAACCGTCACATTTACCTCAAACTGTGAACTTGGTGCTGTTGTGTTCTGTTTGTTTGTTACGACGGAGAAAAAAGCTCAGAAAAAAAAATTAAATGATGCTGGTGCTACGGGAATAAAGTCGTAATATTTCGACATTAAAGTAATAATTTTATGAGAATAAAGTCGAAGTCAAAATAAAGTGGTGAGATTATGAGAAAATCAGCCGCTCATTAAGTCTGAGTGAGTCTGAGGCTGAGGCTCTGGAGAATTTGGAGGATTTTGTACAAGGAGAAGAATCTGTGTGTCGTTCGTTCATTCGACTGAATCGGGACTAAACCAGGTCCAGAACCAAACCAGAACTAAGACCAGGACTGAGGCTGGGACTGAGACCAGGGCCAGACCAGGACTGAAGACGGTTTAGTCCTGGTTTAAGTCACGGAAATGGGAAACGGCGTCTCCGTGACTTAAACTGTGATGAGGGACTAAACCAGGACTAAACCAGGACTAAACCAGGACTAAACCAGGTCTAAACCAGGACTAAACCAGGACTAAACCAGGACTGAACCAGGACTAAACCAGGACTAAACCAGGACTAAACCAGGTCTAAACCGGGACTGAACCAGGACTAAACCAGGTCTAAACCGGGACTGAACCGTTTTCAGTCCTGGTCTTGTCCCGGTATCACGGTCTGGTTCTGGTTCTGGTCCCAGTCTCAGTCCCAGTTTGGTCCTGGACCTGGTTCAGTCCTGTTTTAATCCTGGTTTAGTCCTGGTTTAGTTCTGGTTTAGTCCTGGTTCAGTCCTGGTTCAGTCCTGGTTCAGTCCTGGTTTAGACCTGGTTTAGTTCTGGTTTAGTTCTGGTCTAGTCCTGGTCTAGTCCTGGTTTAGTTCTGGTTTAGTTCTGGATCAGTCCTGGTTTAGTCCTGGTTTAGTTCTGGTTTAGTTCTGGTTTAGTTCTGGATCAGTCCTGGTTTAGTCCTGGTGTAGTCCTGGTTTAGTCCTGGTGTAGTCCTGGTTTAGACCTGGTTTAGTCCTGGTTTAGTCCTGGTGTAGTCCTGGTTTAGACCTGGTTTAGTTCTGGTTTAGTTCTGGTCTAGTCCTGGTCTAGTCCTGGTTTAGTTCTGGTTTAGTTCTGGTCTAGTCCTGGTTCAGTCCTGGTTTAGACCTGGTTTAGTTCTGGTTTAGTTCTGGTCTAGTCCTGGTCTAGTCCTGGTTTAGTTCTGGTTTAGTTCTGGTCTAGTCCTGGTTTAGTTCTGGTTTAGTTCTGGTTTAGTTCTGGTCTAGTCCTGGTTTAGTTCTGGTTTAGTTCTGGTTTAGTCCTGGTCTAGTCCTGGTTTAGTTCTGGTCTAGTCCTGGTTCAGTCCTGGTTTAGTTCTGGTTTAGTTCTGGTCTAGTCCTGGTTTAGTTCTGGTTTAGTTCTGGTTTAGTTCTGGATCAGTCCTGGTTTAATTCTGGTTTAGTTCTGGTTTAGTTCTGGTTTAGTCCTGAGGCGCAAATGAAGAAAATATTTGTTTTTTCATTTTCTTATTTTTATTTTTATATTGAAAATCGAACAAATGACAAACAGATCGAGTTTTTCTTCTGACGCATTTTTCACTTTGACTTTTTGAGTTTATTTCGACTTTATTCTTGTAAAATTAAAACTTTAATGTGACGACTTTATTCTCATAGCATCATTTATTATTTTTTATCTGAGTCTTTTTCTCGTCGTCGTTTCTTCTGCCGTTTCGACATATGGATTTATTTATTTTTTCGATATATCGTGCAGCTCTGTTATTTATTTATAGATTTTTTTTTTTTTTTTACAAAAGTCTCATTATTCTGTAAAAATAAATAAATGTTGAAATGATGTTAATAAAAGTTCACAGCTGCAGGTGAAGAACTCGAACTTCTACACGACTTTACACCAGAAA